TTGTGTTAGGAATTTCATATTTTGTTTGTTGTCTACTTTTTTGTATGGATAATTTTTGCGTAATTAGATAATTTCTTATCTTAATTTAAGCTTTAATTACACAACTTCTTATATTCATCAAAATTACAAAATGTCATCTTACTAATTTATCATCTCACAGATTAATCGAACTCTCCTCTCCTCTCTCAATACATATATTGAAGAATGGTAACTTAGAATACACTTAATTATGTTGTATACGAAGGTTAATTATACATGTACACCCTTTATTGAGAATTAATTATTACAATAAAATGAATTATATTGGAAACGACTATCTAATCAACTGACACATTGTACTAAGAATAATGATTTGACATCTAAATTATGAACAAAGCTAGAATGTTGAATGTAGTAATGGTTTCTCATTACATTTGACATTTATGTAGAATAATGTTTTAAAAAAATCAAACCTTAATGTAAAAATATAAACACCCAATGGACGAAACAACTTCTATAATGGGGCAAGTATTTCCATTTAGTAGTAGATAATTGGTTAAGTCCGAATTAGTTAGGGCAGAGCAACAGTGTCACGTGGTAACCAAAAGAATAAAGAGTAGTAGCACGGGCGTTATTTGTGCGTGTCAAACTCTGAATCTGTCATGGTAAAATGTAGAACAACAAGATTATTTGTTGGTTGGATTCTCAATTTAATTATTCCCTTTTTATTCAAACCAACCAATCCAATTGAATGTTTCTAATTATTTGACCGTGTAAATGTATGATTTTTTATCTAACTTTTTTGTACATTATATGTTTCAATCTTTGGTTTTCGATACTTTTTTCTAGCTCATGTATTTTTCACGAGTATGGAAATAAATCTTCTTTAAAGTTCTTGGGTCATCTCATACCATTGGCCTCTTATGGATCAATTATTTATGTATCTATGCAAACAGTAAAAAGATTTTGGTGAGGAAGCAAATTTAAATCTTGTTTCGACAATTATTTCCTTAAGGAAATAAAAAGTGCTCGGGGATATGAAACATGCTTTGAAAGTTATGAGTTAGCGCCCTTAGAAACTGGTTGAATTAATTCATTGTCCTTTCTGACAAAGGAGGAGAATAAATCTTTAAAACAACTGAACCAATTAATAAAATATAGAATGAGGCGCGATTCTGACAATAATTGGACATGAAACATGTAGTTTATATTGTCTCCGAGCTCGAAACAATGGTGAAGAGAGATTGTCTCGAACATAGGAGAAATCATTTTCCACATCAATAATAATGTTGTAGATTGTCCAAGATATCTTATATTGTCATTTTATCATGTTGGACAAAAAATTATAAAATTCACCTTCTACTACGAGGATGAAACGTTTGATCCCAAGAAAAAGAATCATTTAAAGATTTTCAAGAATGACAATTTGCAAACCAACCCCTAATAATTGAAGCCAAGTCTTACAACAAAAAATTGAAGCTAGATATTTATCTCAAAGGGGGAAATTAAAATCTATTACTATACTACTACTTTGAACTAATGTATACTTAACATAACTAATTTTTTTAAAAAATATGATTTTCTTGGATATTACTATTGCAATTTCCATTGACATCATCATTTAATCTTAGTATCATGGACCAAATCATAATAATGCATTTCAAATTAATAATAGTACTAAGTACACTGAATTTTGAGTACAAACAAGACAAGCATATATAGGGCCTAGCGGCCATTGAATTGTACATACATGAACTAAAACTATGAACTTTATTTCATAATCTATTTAATCTATGTTGCTTATTTCTAATTTCTTAGTTGCAAAATATACCAAAAATAGAAGGAATGGGGGCATTACGAAAAGTTTGTCCATTGGATATAAATCTTATCGTCTCATTTAAAAGAATTGGTTAATAATATCTTTAATCATTAAGGAGGGTTTATAGTAACAATCAAATAGTGTTGTACTCAAGCTCAGTTTTGTCATTACAAGAAATTAAGTGTTATCTTTTCCTATGTGAGATAGATGTTAGATTAAAGAGTATAAGAGTGGCAATAGTAACTTTTGTAAAGTGTAAAACATTTTCATTTTTCGGTTTGGTTTAGGCATTTATGTAATACACAATATATGATCTGATTAATTCTTAGTATACCAAAGATTAACTGATATTTACTTATTAAAACAAAATCTATTGATCAATATAAATTTTACAGACAACTGAGTCTTTATAACTACGTTTAGCATAATCTTATTATATGGAGTATGGAATAATAAATTTGGTATAAACCTATAATTCCGGACTCATATGATCAAAGTATTGGTAGCCACGCACTAGCATCCATGCCCATATAGGCTTTAATTAGCCTGCCGGCTAATAACGTAAGCCTAGGGATTAATTTAACTTATTTCTAACTAATACAAGCTCCTGTCTTCTTCTTCTTCTCCTTATTCTTCTTATTTTTTTCCCCTCTTTTCTTGGCAATTTCTCTTATGTTGGTACAAAGAAGAGTAGTGAGACGGCGTTAATTAGTATATTAACTTTTCCTTAAATAATAATTACATTAAAATAATATGGGTAAAAATGTTCGTCCATATATCATTTCTTATATGTTACTGCATGTATGGTGTTCATTTGCTTCATTAGCTTAACCTCTAATTCCTTATTTTTCATGTATAAATCATACGAATCAGTATTTTCTTGATTGCTTGTCAAAAGATTGCCCAATTGCTTTTTGGATCAAAATTTCCAAAGTTAAACATTTTGACCTTTATTTCTCATTCACATATACTCGGTACATATACTCGGACTTACCAAATCTTTCGTCAGTCCAGCGGATTTTTGCTTTATACCAATGATCGCTCCCATCGACGGCGTTGTTATTGGTGGTGGTATCGTCGACGGCAAGAAACTCGTTGATTATATTTGTTCATGATCTATGCTTGAATTGACTTGATAATTGCTTGAGATTCTCGGATATTTCGAAAAATGCCTAAAAAATCGATTTGGGGCTTTCTTATGTGATGTATAATTGTTGAAATTGATTGTCCTGTGTGATTGTATGTTAAAATGTGAGCGTTTTGATAACAAATGCATGTATTTTGGTTGAGAAATGAGCATGTTAGCTTATACCCATAAGCTTAGTACGGGACTTTCAATGGTGGTTCTGCAATTGTTGACCTTTAATGGTAGGAAGACAATTATTGTATTTGTTTATTTTAAAAATAAAGATTACAAAATATAAAATATGTATAATTTTATTCATTCATTGTCTAGATTATATCATCCAATATGTATTGTGTCTACAATATTATCTATACGATGGATGATATCTCCTCTATTGTTTTTTATATCCTCTATTGTTTTTATGATACGAGTATCTTCTATGAGTTGGATGATATCCTCTATTGTTTGGATGATATCTGCTATATATTGGATGATATCCTATATTGGTTCTATGATATAAGCTAAATGATATCATCTATTGTGTATATGATATCATCTATAGACTGGATATCATCTATTGGCTACATGATATCATTTATACTTGTGCCTATGATATCCTATATTGGCTGGATGATATCCTCTATTGACTATATGATATCATTTATAATTGTGTTTATGTTATCCTTTATTGGCTGGATGATATCCTCTATTGACTATATGATATCATTTATAATTGTGTCTATGATATCATCTATAGGCTGGATGATATCCTCTATTGACTATATGATATCATTTATAATTGTGTCTATGTATCATCTATAGGCTGGACGATATCCTCTATTGGCTATATGATGATATCCTCTAACAAAGTGTAGTATCCTCTACCAAAGATAAATTGTACATATCTTCTATCAAATACTACATATCCTATAACAAACAATACATATTCTATAATAAAACTATACGTATCCTCTATTAAATAACACATACCCTCCAACAAGTTTTACATATCCTCTATCAAGTAAATCATATCCTGATCAAATACTGCATATCATATATACTTGACGCACGAATTGTTTGGTGCGGCTTGCCGCAGCCAATACCTTCTAAAAAATAATCATATGAAATCTTGTTAAGCTCATGCTGATATTTTTTGTTTAAATGTTGATTATGATATTTACGTGTACAAAAGTAAAAATATTACTATATTAATTTAGCACAAAAGAAGTAATTTTTAAGGGGTGGAGACAGGAGAGTATAGTGCTACTAATGGACATGAAATTGTATATTTGGATTCACAAATGATTTTTGTATTGACAATTAGAAGTATTAGTTAATTATTATGTACTCATAGTAATCAAGACCTCTTAAATTATATGGGACAAGTTACATGGCTTTATACGAGAATCAATCTACAAACAAGGAAATTTACTTGAAACGATATTGCTACATCAAGTAATTTGTCGACCTTATAAAACCTTTGCTAAGGTTGTTGAAATGTCTAATGAATGTAAAGCTAGGAATCTTTGTCGTTTATTAAAATTATGGGAAGTAAATAAAAATAGGGAGATTCCAAACAAACAATTATTCTCTTCTCTGCCTCGTCTTTTTTCTATTGACTAAAACTTTGACAATACGCAATAGTCCCCCCCAACCCCAATATATGATCGAGTTTCTATCTTCTTTGTTTTAATTTGCCCTACAAAAAACAATCTAATGTAACTACCGACTTTTTAGAATATTACGCAATATTATTATATTAAACACAGTAAGCTCACGAGTAATTTTATTTTGACATGGATGACAATTATTGTTGATTAAAGTTCTAGGAAAGTACTTTACATCTAGATATGAATTTCTTCTACATCATCATATACTCTTAGATGACTAATTTCACATTGAAACAGATTCGTCACCAATTACAGCCAAAAACCCTATATAGTACAGACTACTAAGTACGAAGTAGTTAGTAATGGAAATGAAAACACCATTTATGTAAAATCTTGTTATTCATAATGTACTTCCATGAATAAAAGCAACCTTATATCAAAATTTTGTGGGTTTGTTTTAGTAACGTCGCTAATTATAAGATTTCCCTACATATAAAGAAACCGTACCAAATAACATGCTCCATCAAACAAAAAATAAAATTTGTTACTCCCTAATTAGTAACCTTTAAAAACAAATCTTCACAATTTATTCATTTTAATTATACAATTTTACTTTTAAAAATCGTATATATACTGCATTATTTCTTCAGTGCCAATATTAATAGTCGTAGTAATAGTAATAGCACGTATCATTTTTGAACATCGTAACGTGTTCACGCATCCATTTTATCATCCCTCCATTATATTTATGAAATTCTCACATACAAACTACATTTATTTATGTTTTTTAAAAAGTTGTAATCATGGACCCTAAAATGCCATGGATAGCCCTATAAAAAACCCTCAAATTCCCTTCATTCCCCACAACTCCATTCTTAAACACCACTCTTTCTCTCTCTCCTCTTCTTGCCCAATTCACCATTTTCTCTCTCCTCAAATACCACTTTTCTTCAGATCAAAACCGTTTCACAGTTATTCTAATCCATTTTCTCTCTCTCCTCAAAACAATTTCAAATTCAATGGAGTCATCTTCATCTTCATCTTCATCTTCCTACCATGAATTCGACACCATTAAAATGGAGAAAGAGAAAGCGATGCGACGATATAGAACTTTCAAGAAGATCGCTAACATTGTTCGAACTGTTGAAGTTATCGTCGCGATTATGTTCGTCTCATTTTCTCTCTCCTTCACTTCTTCCTATCTTCCTGCCGTTATTGAATTCGGCGGCGCTTTTTTCCGGCGGATTTTCTCTCTCCTCTTTTGTCCTCACTTTGTTTTCCTTATCGGAAACGTGATTATCATCACTCTCTTCGCTAAATCTTCCTCCGAGAATAAAACCTCCGATCAAACCGAAGAAGAATTATCCGGCGCAAAAATTGAGTCCGTTAACGTCGAAATCGGAATCTCCGGCGAAAACAATGAATCCGATAATGTCGACGGTGGAATCTCCGGCGTGACGGAGAAGGTCGTTAGCGAAGTTCCGGCGGTGGAGGAGAGAGAAATGGAGGAGAAAGTATACCGAAGGACGAAATCGACTTCGGAAATGGTTGTTGTGAAGGAGGAGAAGAAAGAGCTCCGGCGATCGGAAACGGAAGTTGGACGGAAAATCGAGAAAACAGCGGCGATTGATCGAAGGAGAGAGAATCGGTGGTTCGAAGTTGATGAATTGAGTAATGAAGAATTCAACAGGAAAGTTGAAGCGTTTATTCAGAAACAGCAGAGGTTTTTACGAGAAGAGAAATTGGCGGTTGTTTTGAGTAATTAAGCATAATTATGGTAATTACGAGTAATTAAATAATGATTAATAGTGATTAACTGTTGATTATGTTAATTACTCTGTGAGAAAGTTTAGAGGAAACAGAGTATGATAGGAAGTGTTATTTTTTTGACACTTTACTATCAGAAATTGTAGTGCATGATTTTTACTTTGGAATGTACAGTTTTAGTTGAAGAGTATTAGAGTAGTAGTACAAATCTGAAATATACTTCTACTAGTAGTGTTAATGTTACTAAGACTACTACAGTATTAATAATAATAATTACTGTTATTAGCAAACTTGTTGTTGAAGTTATGATGTTATGAACTTTAATGGTGTTTTACAATTTTCTAATTGTGCAACTTTTTCTGTCGAATTATGCTTATGTTTGTAATGTTACCGCTCTGAATGTTTTTAAAATAATTTATGTAATGAGTTGAAGGTTGATGCGCATATTATTGATTATTAATCATAGTAAAATGTGATAATCTGAACTCAAAAAGGTTATTTATGTAAATTTTCCGAAAAATGAAAGTGAAACGTGACTAGAATCAGGTGTAATATCTTACTACACCTCATTTGCTCAAGTGAATAGTGACTGATTTTTTTTACACCTTTATGGTACCCTGTACCTGTTATGTGATCTGGTACTGGCAAAGTTTTGCATTTGCTTATGCAAAACAACAATGTAATGGCAACACTTTAGCTGCCTGACTCGAGCTTGAACTAATTGATCTATAGTTGGGAAGTGTAGGTTCAACTCAATTGGCTAGGATAAAAATAAAATAAAATGAAGGAATCCATTATTAGAACGGACAAATTGACATCAATAAGATGCATTGCCACTTGAATTTATGGATGAACTTTGGAACATATTCTTGTACTTAAAAGCATAGATCATAAGTTAATCTAGAAATTACGAAAGTATTACCACCACAAATTATGTTTCCTATAGATTCTTCTGATGTTTTAAGGAAAGTTATTAATTCATCCAACATTTTAGATTCTTTTTTATATTTTTATTTTTATTTTTTAAATTCTAATTCTAATTTACATAGTTGTTAACTTTTTATGCTTGCCAGGTAAACCAATAAATTGCTGGGCTTTTGGATAGAAGGCATAATTCTTTGGATACCTCCACAAAGCCCAAAGGCATATATTTGATGATGCAATTTCTTCTTCATCTTTTCCTATATAATGAAGCTTTCAATTCTTTACGTATGCACTTGTAACGTTGAACAATAACTCGTGATATATGAACAAGAGATAAAATTACTAACATGCATGTATGAAATCGAATATTATTTTGGGGGATAAATTCAAGTTTCTCTCTTAGATAAACACAACATAATTATTTTCTTTTATTTTTTAAATGATAAAAGTAAAATAGTAAAATGGCACATAAATCAATACATAAATTTATGAGAGGAGATAATCTTAAATGTTAATGTCTGAGATTAACCTGGGCTCCTTTTTTGGGGACCAAATAAAATTCTACAAGCTAAGTATTACAAGTATATTTTAGGAGCCCAAGTAAATGATTCAATTCTTGTTTTTAGTAAAATTTTAAACAATTATATCATCATTCGTACTTATTTCAAAATTGAACTCCTATGAGACAAGAGAAGTCGAGCAATCAATGGAAATAGGAAAATAGGTTTTTTTTTTTTTTCTAAGCATAATCCATAATACTCCAATCTAATAGCTAACTAATTGACAAAAGTCTAACACTCTTAACATTACCTTGAGATCATTATCAAATTTCACGTACCGAAGGTAATTACTCGTAATCAAGCATACCTGGGTGCTATATAGCTGATTATATTGACAATTTTCTAACCCCCTTCAAAATTAATTAAAGATATAGTACTAGTAGTAGACTAGTAGTACTACTATATCCGAACTCGATATAGTAGTACTACTAGTCCCTAACGAGAGGCTAAGTATTGCTGATTATTCCTATAAACAGTGAGGAGAAATCCAAATGCTTAGAAAATTTGTCCTTAAAGTTTGAAAATTGTTCCTTAGTAGGGACAATATTGTTCACATATAGAGTATTACAATTTTATTACTTTGTTTTGTCTTCTTTTTTTTTAGTTGTATTATAATTTCACTACTTTGTTTTCTCTTTTTTTTAGGTCTTTGTTTTTGTATTTCAGAAAAGCATAAAAAAATTAAAATATAGGAAGTGATTTTTAGGTAGGAGAGTTCAACAGCCAACAGACAGTTCCTCTGATGTGGGGTTGGTTGAAACGAATGTGAAGGGATGGATTCTCTTCTATCTTTTATGTTTGTGTACTTTATTTATACTTACTAGTGCTTCTTGTTAGAGGTTGTTAGTTTTTTTTGTTGAAGAACCTTTCTTCTTGTGTTTTATCCATTTATCTTAACTTTATGTTCATGATTTAGCATCATTCTTTTATTTCTGTTCAAGTACGAAAATTAATTAAGTTTTTTTAATTTGAAAAAGGCTAGTTGAAGTGTTGAACAATGGCAGATTCAGAATAAATATTCAACGGTATTAAAATCCATTTGATAAATTTTAATGGGGTCAATAGGGTAATTTTTATGAAATAAGAAAACTCAAATATGTAGGAAAAAACTTAGTTTTAATTTTTTTTTTTTTTTTTTTTTTTTTTTTATGTTCAAGTGGGTTCACTTGGTGTAATGTGCATCCGCCACTAGTGTTGAACATAATAAATTTTACATTAGAGGTGAAAAAAATTGTTTAATTGTAGCAAAGTTTGACCAATATGTTTTAAGTCTTATTTATAAGCTAAGGCGTGTTATTTAATGTTCTTATGAATCTCAACTTAGACATGTTTCTATCAAGTCTCATGAAAAGTTTCACTTATTAGGGGTAGTAAACTTCTCATAGGTAGGTAGAAAGTTCTCCATATAACCTATTAGGTTACATTAATTTCGTATCATTCTTGATTGTTAAAGTTCCTCGATATATCAACCAGATAATAACTACTTATACCATATAAAGTCCTTCATTCCCTTTTCAATAAGTGGAAATGAGGTGAGTAGAACGCTATCTAATTGACTTCACACTGTCATTGAATAAGATCAGATATTAAAGTTTTGTCAAGGTATATAGAAGGAGAGGGAAGAAAACTCTAAAACAGATACAAAAAAATCTAAATGTTGTTTGATGTCCACTATGTCATTTAGAACAAGTTTGAGAGATAGATTTCCCTCGAGTTCTTGGGTATCTTAGCTTATACTATACTAAGCTACCAACGGGTCAGAACTCAAAAGGCATCTTACAACAAAACACAACAAGTGCATATGTGCATTGATATTGATAGATTGGTTCATTGTTGGATTCTTATAGAATTGGGGATTAGAAATTTAGTACATACAAATACTGATCTATATAGATTACCCCGAATAAATTCGGGACTAAGGTAAGGATTTAGCATGGCCTTTTATTTAGCTAGAAATGGAAGGAATTATAGCTATGTTACTTGGTATTTGATAATTCTACTACCTTCTCAAAATCAATGGCTCCCTAGGCTAGCCTCTTATCAACTTTGTTTCATGTTTTGTATGATTGTCACTTTCACAAAACATGCTTATATTCTGTTTAGGCACTAAACTTAGTATTCTTGGCAGCATTTGAGCATCGACTAAAGCGCGTATTTATCATCTAAGCAAAGATTGCAACAAACACACACGTAATAATGTAATATTCATGCACAAAAGAACCATTTATAAATAATCTAAATTATATTCTAGTCTTTTGTTCATATTTTTATTCATATATTTGCAGTCAACTACGTACGAGTACTTAATTAGCGTAATTAGAGTCCTTTTTGTAGTCTAAAAACTGCTGAAAATATCTTAATCAGAAAGAAAATTTTGACCCCACTTTGTCTTTTAAATTATTCTCTTAATTTCTTTTTTTTTTATTTACATGTAATCCACACCAGTAAACTTTTTTTGTATTTCCCCAAGTATGTAATGTATTTCTTTTAATAATTTAATTTAAAAAATAATTCTTTAAAAATTAGTGGATGATTATTCTTGTACAAACGCAAACTTAAAATTTGAAGAAGGAAAGCAATTTTTTTTCTGACTAGACATTAAGAAATTAGGACGTATAGATTATTCCCCTTGTTTTTTCTCTCCCTAAATGCTTGATATTAAATTCTATAAGAATACTAAGCCTAATTTATTCATGTTCTACCTTAGTGCTGTAGCTTTAATTTATTCTTTTGAAAAGAGTTAAGAAACTCAACCCAATAGTTTATGATTTGGTGGTGTCAACTTCTGTACTTCTTTTCATTATTTTCAAATGTCCATAGATAATTTACTCCATGTTAAAATTGTGAGCTGAGTTCTAAAATTTCTTTCACCATAAACAGAAATAACTAATAAAACTAATACGTAGTAAATCTTTATAGAGAGGAGATAGAGTGACATACTAGTACAGAGTAGTATCGAGTTTATTCGGTTTTTTTATTTGATATTAAACTTGGAAATTTAAAGTTTAGATATGTTTAATTTAAGCAAGATTAAAGTTTAATTCATGAAAATTAAAGAAACTTAAGTGGTATTTTACTCTATTACATGATCCTAGCTCAAAGTATACTAAAATTTGCATGACTCGATCATATCCCATCTATAAATCAATACGAATAATATTGAATTACTCATCATCTTTAACAAACCAAACCAAACCAAACCAAACAATTGGGTAAACCGTATGTTCAAAGTACACATGTCAACCAATCAAACTATGAACTCGTATACTTGACCAAAAAAATTACAATCTAAAATTTAGTAAAAAAAAATGTGGACCGTCCAATTATATTTATATGGAATCATAATGAACTTTATACTATATAATTTAAATAAATAATTATTACTGTAAAAATATGCACGTAAGGTGTAATGCTTATCCAAAGTTCTAATATGCTACCAATATTTGTGGGTGTGGTGGTTGTTACACTACCCTTTAGAACAATCATATGATCCATAATTTTGATATATAGTCACAAAGAGAAAGAGTTGGCATTTTGGTTTGTTTTTAAAATATTGTTTAAACGATAAAAACAGAGGAAAAAGCAGAGTGAACCTTCCCTAGAGTCTATAAAAGGATATTAAAAGTATTTTTAAATAAATTAATTAATAGATCGTGCCCTTATTTTTTAGGTACTTGGCCCTTATATTATAGGAAAAGAAGTATCCAATTTACAATAAAAATGTCAAGAAATCTAGTATTTTAATTTGATGGTTTGAATTTATGTTCTTGTCTTTGTTTTTTACTTATTAGATTTTCCTAAGGTACTTTTACTTTTCTTTTAGTG